AAAGCACTCTTATTAGTTGCTAAATTATTTGAGATTTCTATTCTCATAATTTATAGAGAAGGAAATGGTAATGCATACGATTTTTTTTCTTTGTATGAGAATAGGAGGCAGGAGTTACACGAGACAACGATTAGATGAAAAAATATTGAGCAGTTGTAACATATTTTTGCCTGTTGACGAAAAAAGTTAATCTGATCATTGTGAAGATGAGGTGAACCAAGCCGAGAGTTGTCGACTGCCCCCTCTTCCTCCTTGATCTAAAGCTGGCAACTGGCCTCACTTTCTCAGCGATATGTTATTGTTTGCGGTTGACTGGCCGAGTTATACTCTTCTTCCCATTCTTTTCTTAATTTCTTCCAAATTACGACTGTTGGATGGTAAATTTTCCCACTCCCGATGAGTGAATATATTTCTTCTTAGTTTTTTACGGAGAAGGATCGCCATATACTTTTATGTATATAAAATATAATTAGAAGGGTTAATTGGTTGGACTTAGGGCATACCTCCTTTGGTTGAATAATTGATCGTTTTTCTTGAATTCCTATTGCAACCCGATTTCTTGAATGTTGAAATGGAAAGTAGAGTTGTGATGATTGTTTATTATATTTTATGTTCATGATTGACATGCTACTACTAGCTAGCTATACAATGATGATCTGGTTAGTAATTAGTAGGTAGCAAAGGGGTTATAAGTAGAAGGGAACATAATTGGGGTTTTCTAAAGGTCGCTAAGAAGAAAGAAAATGATAATGGTGGTTTCTCGATTGTCTATTTCGATGTGTTTTTAATTTCTACATGTTTGCGGTGACATTTGTTTGTTTCATTAAGGTGAATTTTTCCGCATTGAATCCCTAACTAAAGATTGATTTTGACATGATTGTTTTCTTACAAACTACTATTTTGATTGATGCATATATTCAGTTCACAAATGAGGAATCTGAATGATAAAATGAGTTGAGTTGTATTGAAGACTGCTCCTTTCATTATTTGTCTATGTTGTTATTAGGTAATAAAGCACAATTCTTTTCTGCAGGAGATATGTAGCTCTCTACAAAATATAAATTGTGTTTAATTATATGCAGTTTAATTTGCTGAAAATATTGCTTTAATAAGTTACTGACGGCTGATAGTTTTGTTTGTGGTTGGTTTTGCTAGAACATTTCAAGGTAATTAAACAAGTACGTGGAAGATTGATGGACGTGGATGCTAATGAGTTTTCTCATTATTCCAAAATTGTATGTGTAAGTGATAATACACGATATTCATGGGATTTAGGTCGGAATATTCTCTATTATCATATACCGACATATGAGAAGGGAGAGAAAATAAAAAGCTCTTCGCTTATTTTTTTATTATTAATTGAAGCATATTTTCTTATTCTAACTTCTTCTTTTGTGGCCGCAAGTTTTTTTAACTTCTTTATCACAATTGTGTGCTAAAGAATGAATTATCTCTTATGTTTATAATATTAAAGGGCGAGTTTGATAAAAAAATTAAATCAATAAAGAACCGTCTACAAAGAGCTCAGTTAATAAAATTAAAATATTTATAAATAAACAAAAGGTATAAAAGTATGAAACAATACCTGAAATAAAATAAGTGGGATTTACAATTTCATGTATATTACCTTAACAAACATAAATAATAATTACAATTAGAATACTATAACAAATTGTAAAACAACCAAACAAAATACTCCGCCCAACGGGCGGGTAAAAAACTAGTATGTACAACTAGTACTGTAGTACACATTTAAAGACCTTTGAGCGTTCTTGTTGGGGCTTTTGAATTGGATCAGTTGGTTTCTGGCTCCAACCCAATCAATTTTCGAAGTGGGCCTGGGATTGGTCCCTTTCTTCGTCTTGGTCCACGTTAGGTCGCGGAAAAGGCGCTAAAACAATAGAAAGCAAAGTGTCTGTATGTATCCAATGAGACCGAAATCAAAGTCTTCTGTGGCCATATATTACGTACCAAAGAATTATTATGGGCACAGCTGGACAATCACTGTAACGCCTTTTCCTTAATATGTCGATGAAATCGAAATGTAGTTGAGGGATTAGGATGATAATTATCCCATACATCAACAAAGTTTAAGAGCTTGAGCGGGGCCCGCCAGGGGGTGAAAAACGTGGAGAAGTATGTGGATGCACACGTATGGCGACAGGCAAGCCAGCTGTGTCCAGTCCACAAAGCGCACACGCCCATACATTTCCACCTGCTCCCTCTTGGTCTTGCGAGTTGTGAACAGTAAAATGCAATGTTGTCAGAATCGAACTAGAGCATGACCCGGTAATGAGAACGGCTCGCACTTTAATGGTCCAACCGACATTAGACTGTTTAAAAACCGTTAGATAACCGGTACCTAATAAATGTTATCAATATAAATAATGGACATTTCTTAATCAGAGCTCGTCTCTTTCCTTCGAAATTGTGAAATGGAAATAAACATTTAGTTTGAGAGCCCGACATTTTTGGTTTATTTCAATTTTCTGTAATTTTTTTAATTAAATTTAACGGCTGGATAGCAAAAACCGGAAGAGCGGCTCGAGCGGTTAACCGCCTCGACCGCTCTTCAACCGCTACATAAAACCGGAGCGACTTTTAGTTGTTCCGAGCCGATTTTGTGACCGGGTGGCGATTTTACTAGTCGGGTCGAGTGGCTCGGCTCGGCTTTAATAACACTGGTAAAATGTATACCCTTTTTCTTTTTTATAACCTAGGAATCTCAACCCCACTGGCCACTTTGTGACAACGGGGTCTACCAAACTAGGGAGCACCTGTACAAGACACAATATAGAGGGACTTTGTCCCCAACACTCAGAGATACCTCTGGGAACACACAAGCGGTGTCGGTGGGGATCGAAATCAGGACCTCTCACTTCCTGAGCAAACCACCAGCCAGGCTATACCGTTTTTCAAAAAATATATATTATTTGGTTTTCCAAAATTACCTTCATTTTTATGTTCTAAAGGATTTTTTTTTCTTCGCAAAGTCAGTTGTTATAAAATCAGACATACAGAGAAAATAAAAAGAGCGCGGGAGTCGACCAATAGTCGAACTCCCGATGAGAGGGCCTTTTATGCCACATGATGGGCAGCCCTATTGAGACAACAGAGAACAAAATAGTAAGATTCCCAACTACAGAGAGAAACCGAGCTCTGAGCATCCTGCAAGATAGTTCCATCGTGATCATGAGCCAAGTCACCTGTCTGAGGAAGACTCTTCGATAACAGGAGCTCTTCTGCGTGCCCCTACAAAAAAACAAACAAAACACACAAGCGTCCCCACTGAAGGACAACTAAGCTCCACCAAATGGACTTAAACAAGTCATTAAGGCTTAGTCGGATACACCGAATCCAAAACTATGTCAAATTAATTTTTTTTAAAAAATAGGTAAAAAAAACCCAAAAAAAAAGGACGAAATTGACAAATAAAATGAATAAAAGAGAGGGTAAGTATCAAAAGAAAACAAATAAAATTTACTAATAAATAATGAAGGAAATGTAAAGCGGTTAATTACAAAGATAAATGAAATAAAAAATGACTAAATTGCAATAATGTAAAAAAAAGAAACTGAGGAGTCTGTTTGAGTTACTTACCTGGAGCGGTTACGCCATTCCAAAAAGTGTAAAATTGTAATTAATTAAAAAATACAGTTACCAATTACTTGCGGCAGATCTCACCGGAACCGTCTGTTCAGTTACCCCAGGTAATCGCCGTCAGTCTTCTCACCTTTCTGCCCCCGAAACCGCCACACCGCTGCCACCGTTCATCGTGCAAAACCTGGACGGCCTGAGCTGGAAATTCCTCCGCCGCTTCTGGTCGCCTTCGCCATCCCCGCTGCAACCAGTTCCCTCCAGGACGGCCGGCTACTCGTCGCCGACGACCGATTCTTGTGGAGGCTGCAGCGGAACGACCCCGGGTGGTTCGTCGGCGAGCAGCGGTTCTTGACGGAATTCGCTGGAGAAGAAGAAGAAGTACGCCCTGGTGGTGAGCACAGAGAACATAACCCGCAACTGGTACTTCGGCAACCACCGGCCGATGCTCCTGACCAACTGCCTCTTCCGCATCGGAGCTGCCGCCGTCCTCCTCACCAATCGCCCTTCCGACCGCCGCCGGTCCCGCCTACATGATTTGTTTGCATGCGAGAGAGCGAGGGTCGTCGTTTTAACCGAGGAGGAGGTTGGAATGCACGTGCAACGGCGCTGTTGCGCTCTCCGAGCCTGTATTTCCTCTTCTTTCTTTGCGGCCAGATAAACTCTCCATAATGCTTATGTTCTAAAGGATTTGCTGTGGCAGCATATTTGTCCTGTCCTGTCAATGTCCTGGTCGCCAAACCAAAGATCAAACAGAGCTTAAGGCCCTGTTTATTTATTAGGGTGATTCAGCAAATGTAACCCAAAAAACCGTCTATCGATTATCAAGTTGTCGTGTAATTTTGTGAGTATGAAAAGATTGAATTAAGATTTAAGGGTAAATATTTTATTGACTTTTTTAATACTATTAGCCTTCTCATGTAGATCTCGTATCTTTCTATGGCAAATCTGTATAGCTATTAGTTTGGAGTGTAAGCTTGTAGGACTGTATGATCTGCTCTGTAGCAGATGAACTTTTGCGCCTCTTGTATTTGATTAACAGGGGCTTCAGTAAAGATAACACAATCACCAAAAAATTATCTCTAAGAAAGTTGGGGTACAAAATTACTAATCTTTTTCATATGATCAAAGTATTCCAATCATATTGATTGTAATTAGGTTTATAATTTGGATGTGGTGAGAATCCTACTTGTAATATTCTCCACATTATAAGGAAGAAAAAAGTTTTTCACTGCTCATAATATACATATATTCACCATAATACATTTACTTAACAAAGTAAATTCCCTCCCATAAAAAAAAAGTAAATTCCCAACCAACCTTTAATTGTTTTAGTTCTAATCATCAACTCTTTTTTTTTTTTTTTTTGGTAGGAAACAGGGTGCTAGCGGGCACCCCAACCGTTAATCATTACAAACAAGACGAGGAGTTGAAACTCCCATACAATCGAACAGTAGCCAGTAGTTAAGGACCGGGCATTGGGTATCAACAAAATGAAACCCCGGAGGACGACTATGTCCAAGAGACGCTAGGTAGTCAGCAACAACATTACCCTCCCGAAACACGTGAATTACTTCCACCTGCCAATCCAAAGCCAAGAGTCGTCGCACCTCGGAGACCAAAGCCAGGTGGGGGTGTCGTTCCCCAGCTCCTTCGACGAGTTGAATAGCTATGTGAGAGTCAGTCTGGACTTGCACATGTCGAAGTCCCATATCCCATGCAGCTTTCAGACCAAAAGCAATTCCCGCCAGCTCCGCTCTAGTAATTGAACCTTCCCCCAAGTTACCGGAAAAAGCTCTCAACAAACGACCATCTTCCCTCCGAATAGCCCCGCCTGCTGCTGCATTGCCACTCACCACAGACCCATCCGTATTTATGCACGACCAGCCAGGTGGAGGAGCCTTCCAAGCGATCAGCCGCTGTGACGAGGTGACCCCCCCGGCGAACACATCGCTGTCTTGGTGGCCGCCTCTTCAATCTGCTTCTCCAACATAACCACCCTACCAGGTAAGGAGCTTATCGAGTCTAGTTCCTTCTCGAAGAAAAATTTGTTCATGTTTTTCCAAAGCATCCAACACATCACAGCAAAAGGAGTCGGTGTTACACTCGTACTTCGACCAGCCAGATAGTGCAGGACCCATCTGTTTAGGTCAGCCTGAAAGAACGACTCGTCGGGCTCGTCATGGAGGAACTCCGCCCAGGCAGCTCGTGCGTAGGGGCAGTCACGGATGACGTGCAGAGTCGTCTCCTCTTCCACACCACATATGCGACAGCTTGCATCTGACGTCAGGTGTCTCCTCCGCCTTTCGTAGTTGGTGAGAAGGCGCTGGTGAGCTACAAGCCAGAAGAAGGCCCGAATCCGTTGCGTAGCTGGCGTACACCACCGCGTTTTCCACATGGGATGTGAGCCCCCCGGGCTTTCCTCCACTGCCGTCATCGAATAGGCCGTTTTCAACGAAAAGCAGCCATCCGATGTGAACCTCCAAACCGCAACATCCTCCCCTTCTTCATGAGGCACCGGATGCATCCGGATAGTGCTGACAATATCATCCTGCAAAAAAACTCAAAGGTAAGGAATGTTCCAATCGCCGTTAAGGACCATATCAGCCACAGTCAGAGAGAGAGAGAGAGAGCTTCTTGCGGGAGATTAACCGCCAGGTCCGCCAACACCGGACCATCTTGTAACCATCTATCCGTCCAGAAATGCGTGTGCTTGCCGCTCTTGATATTCCACATAACTGCGTCGGGTAGCAGGTGGAGGATCCGAAGCACACCCCGCCACAAGTTTGACATGCGACCTTGAGTTCTTGGCTGCCATCCCTCCTCCGTGCGTCGAAGGTACTTTGCCCGAACAACGCTAGCCCACAGACTCTATGGTTCAGCCAGCAATCTCCAAGCTATTTTAAGCATAAATGCTTTATTGACTCTGGTGGCACTGCGAAGACCTAGGCCACCTTCCTCTTTCGGCCGACAAATGGTTTCCCAGTCGACCAAATGAATCTTCCTGCCTCCCTCCGAACTTCCCCATATGAATGCTCTGATTTTCTTGTCGATATAATCCCTCACACTCGACGGGAGGAAAGTAGTTTGCATGATGTACGAAGGCAGGGAAGAGAGTACTGCCTGAGCTAGAGTGATACGTCCGGCCAGAGAAAGAGACATGCTTTTCCAACCTGCGAGTCGAGAACCCACTTTATCAATAAGCTCAATGAATGTCGCCTTCAAAACCCGGTCATGAATAACTGGAACACCAAGGTAGCGTCCCAAATTTTTAGTTTCTGGGATCCCCAAGGCAGAGGAGATCTCCGCCCCTTTCTCTGCTGTAACATTCTTCGAGAAAAATACATGGGACTTCGGCTTGCTGACTTGCTGACCCGAAGCTGCACTGAAAGCATCCAAACACTGCATGATGGTTGTAACCTGCTGCATGGAAGCTTCGCCGAACAAGATCAGATCATCTGCAAAAAATAAGTGTGAGAGAGCCGGCCCATTCGCCGAGATCTGAACTGTACGCCACGCGCCTTCAATCACTGCAGCCTTCACAAGGTGACTTAGCCGCTCCATACAAAGAGTGAATAGGTATGGTGAGAGCAGACATCCCTGCCGGAGACCTCTTGTTGGAGAGAAGCTATCCGTAAGCCCACCATTCCACTGGATTCGCATACTAGCGGAGGAGATGCACTGCATGGCTAGAGCAACGAACTCGTCCGGTAACCCTGCAGCCTCCAGAGTATTCTGCACAAAACTCCATTTGATGCGGTCATACACTTTAGCTAGATTGATTTTTATAACCATCCAGCCCTTGCGCCCCTTTTTAGCTCGCATAGAGTGCACCACTTCCTGCAAAATACAAACATTGTCAGTAATATGGCGCCCAGGGACAAAGCTAGTTTGGGTTTCGTCCACTAGTCTCGGCATCCACATTTTCTGTCATTCCACCAGGCTCTTAGTCAGAACCTTGTACGTTACATTGCACAAGCTAATGGGCCGATACTGCTCAATCAGGGTTGGCCGATTGACATTGGGAATAAGCACTAGGATAGTCTCATTAACCAGTTTCACCTTCGTCGGGTCATTCCAGCAGTCATGAGTGAATTGGATCATCTTCGCTCCCACCGATGGCCAAAACTTCTGAAAGAATAACGGGTGTAAGCCATCCGTTCCTGGGGCCTTGTGGGCACCCATTCCCATAACTGCCCTCCGAATCTCCTCGTCCGTAAACGTCCCCGAGATATTATCCCCAAGCTCAACCGTCACATTGGGGAATAGGGACGGCAATGCTTGTAGGGAACTCGGTTCATCCGTTGGAAAAACCTTCTAGCCATGTCTTGTAGGCGCTGGTCATCTTCCACCCAAGACTCTGACTCGTCCTTCAGCAGGTTGATTCTATTTCTCTTCCTCCGCTGGACGGTACGGGTATGAAAGTATTTGGAATTCTTGTCCCCATGCGCTATCCACTCGAGCCTCGACTTTTGACACCACAGAATTGCTTCTTGTAGGAGTGTATCTTCCAACTCCTGGCGGAATTGACTGAGCTGCGGTGAATCAGAGTCTCCCGCCCCTGCCATTTTCAATCGTTCAATCTTAGCCAACAAAAGGTTTTTCCTCCTAGTAATATGCCCGAATGTGGTATGATTCCATTCCTTTGCTGCTGACGTGAAAGCTTCGATCGAGCTCTGCCAGTCCGTCCCTTGGGCCCAGGACTGCTCCGCCATCCCCTCAAAGTCTTCATGCATCAACCAGGCTGCCAAGAAGCGGAATGGTTTCGGCCCAGCAAGCTGATAGGACGCGTTCGTATGGATTAGGAGGGGACGGTGATCCGATTTTATTTTTGGGAGGTGTTGCACGGAGCTCTCTGGGAAGGCGGAGTGCCAGGCAGCGTTCGCCATCCCTCGATCCAACCTCTCTTTCATCCCTGCATGGAACCACGTAAATGGCGGCCCTGAGAATCCCAGGTCAATCAGCCCTGCGTCAAGTGCGCAATCTTGAAAATCTCTAACCCTGCTAGCATCAAAGGGAGCTCCACCCGATTTTTCAGCAGCACAGAGTTCCGGGGTTCCGTTGAATGACCTTCGCGATGCCCCTAAGAGAAGTCCATAGTCCCCGACGTTGAATGAGAGCCGGGTTCCCATAGACAGCTGTGAATAACCACTTCCTCGTCCCTTGTTCCACTGAAAAATGCAAGTGCTGAGCTGATCTCCCCTTCTCTACTATCGTAATGCATGAGGATTTCAAAAGTAACCAAATCCCTCCGAAGAAGCCCACTGCGTCAGCTACCAGGTCCTCCTCCATTCCCATCTTATCTATGACTTTGCGTACTCGTGTTCCACTAATCCGTGGCTCAATAATGACTACCATATCAGGATTGTGCTTGCGTTTGTACTCTTTGAAAACTCGCAGGAAACGATCACTTCCTGCACCCCGGCAATTCCAAATGAAAAGGCGTGTATCAATCATGGAGACTTGGAAGAGGTAGGGCTAAGGAGCCCACCAATGGGCTCTCTTCTCGGCTTCTCGTTGTGTCTGGTTTCTCTGGTGGCTGAACGGCCATTTCAACTTGACAATTTCCTGCGTCTCCCGGCAATATGTGAAGTGAAGTTGATTTATCAGGTGGTCGGGGTTCCAGTGTTCTATCCTGACTACGGGGCTGGTCAGCAAGCTCCATTGGGGAGGTGGAAGTAAGCAAGCTGGGGGAATCTTGAATGTTGAGGTTGTGAGTACCCAAATCAGCCTTTTCGTTATTGATTATCGCAGTCCCCTCCTCCATTGCCCTGCTTGGAGCGGATTGGGCCACGTCATGTGCATGGGGGTGCATGGCATTGCCTTTTGGTATCTCTAGACGTGGGGTGCTCGCACTATTGGGGTTCGTCTGTGCCATTTCCGGATGAGCAGCATTCTTCTCTACCCAAACCTGGCGCTGGGGAGTCGGATTAGGCGCCCTCGACTTTGGAGCCCCGGTTGGTGGGTTCGAGCTAGTGTGCGCACTTTGGGAGCCCCCGATCTCTTCCACTTCCTCGGATAGAACGGCAAAACGGGAACAGGTAACGTGATCTCGTTGTTGTGTGCGTTGTGGTACCTCAGTTTCCCTACCCCCAGTCACTATTGGTATTTGCATCTTGCGTCTGACCCCCCGAATGATTACTCGAGCAGTTGGCTTGGCTATGACCATATCTCCCGCATTGGAAACACACATTATGTAGCCCTTCATACTTGATTTCGTACTCCAGCCCGACTACTTTAAACTTGGAGAGGAGCGGTTTCGTCAGGTCAATTTCCACACAAACTCGGGCAAACTTCGCCCTAGCTCCTGTTTCAGTAGCTCGATCAAGGCGAATCGGTCTCCCTGCCCGACTTGCAATGCGAAGGACCGCCTCAGGGTGATATAGCTCGATTGGTAAATCTGGGAGCTGTAGCCAAGCAAGCGTCGAGGTGATGGAGTGGACCCTAGGATCGAAACCCTTGCGCCATGGAACAACATTAATGTAATGATCCCCGATCATCAAGGTCCGCCCGTTAGAGCATGTTCATAATCCATTTTAGACGTAACTCTCACAAAATAATATCCATAGCCCCGGTTCGTCACCTGGATGATCCCCGTTCTTGCCCACAGCATATTTAGACGCTTCGCTATAACTAGATAGGGGAACGAACGCCCCAAGACCTTGACAACGAGGACTTATTAAGATGCAGTATGCTAATGATTAATGTAAGGAATAAACAAAGAGGAGAACATTTATTTTCATCTAGGGTGGAGCGAAAGGAGAATTAATAATGTCATATTTAAAATATACATGTGACGAATATAAGCTAGGTGGTTTTCTTTTTAAATTGGCTAATATAGGATACGCTGTGTTTTAGTAGGGACCATTTTAGCATTTTACCATTATGGTTCCTATGCCTTAACCCTAGGTTTTGTGGCATTAGGGTTAAGTATATATAGGTTGCATTCTTCTTGTAATCTGTAAGCAGCAGTAATAATAACAAGAAAGAACTGAGAAGGGTTTCTTCTCCGTGGATTAGTCACGTTCACAACGAACGGGGATACCACGTAAATCGCTTGTGTTCTGTGTTGATTTTCAGTTTTTACAGCTAATGCCCATATTGATACGATTTTCTCCTCATTCGAGTTTCTAAATTTTTTATTTTGTTATAGACTAGTCCTCTCAAATATTTTCCAGATCGATCCATCGATGTAATTAAAGTTGATTAAATTTTGTCCTTGGATATGAGGTGCATAGGTGCCCAAAATTCTATTCATTTTCATTTTTCTTGGTTTGAATAGTTTGGAGTAGGACTAAAATTATCCCGTCGGGTAGAGTTTTAATCTAGTTTGCGTTCAGCTCCTTGATAAACTAGTCGATCTCGACTCGTTTACTAAAAGTTTAGCTTGTGATTCACTCGAACTCGACTCATTAATTAGTTCGCGAGATAGTCTGGATCTCAGAATCATATTATTTAGTTCATAATATTTAACTCTTCATATCACGTTATTTAATAGTTATTAGTATCTGAAAAATCTATGAAACATAATTCCTCTTTTAAATTATAAAGGAGAAATGTTGCTCGTTTACTCAAACTCTTAAGCCCGTTCATATTTATGAAATATATAATATAACAAACTAACTCGTAAGCTATAAATTGATTTGCTTAAGTCGTTAGGCATGGTGGCTTACTAGCCAAATTGTCGACTCAGATCATGTTAATTTGATTTTGGTTTTTTCCGTTTCCATCCATCGACACTAAACCGAGAAAAAGTTCAATGGTTCTGGTTTTTCGATTTTAAAATTGTTTAGTATCTTAATAGTTTTGCTTTTGGTTAAAATTGAAAAATTTACAAGAAACTGGTAAGATCCTAACTAAGACAATATCTATCAACAACACACGTTGTCATAAACTTATGTGCATTTGGCTTCTTTCTTTTCACGCTTCTAATTTGTTGCTTTTTCTGACTTCATTTTGGACTTTCTCAAGCTTTGGGTTTTGTTTTTTATTTTTTGGTTTATCCAAACCAAAACCGTTAAAGACTTATCGATTGGCTCTTGAAAAGGATTTGAATGAGATTCTAGATCACAAGGAACATGCATGGAGGCAGAGATCTGGGGCAATGACTGAAAGAAGAATATCGAAATACACAATATATCCATTGGAAAGCCTCAAACATGAGGATTCGAAAAACAATCATGAAGCTTAAAGATGGAGATAACATTACCAAAGCAGAACAAGAGGCAGTTACTCAATGTATGTTGGAGTACTTGCAAGGACTCTACACAACGGTCGGGCCAGAGCGCTAAACCAAGTAGAGCGTTTGATGCTGTAGAAACAAAAATCAGTCATGAGATGAATATATAACTATTGAAGCCCTTTACTAGTGAAGAAATTTGGGAAGCATTAAGAACCATGATACCTCTAAAAGCACCAGAGAAGGATGGAATGCCAATACTCTTTGATGAGGAAGTCACTAATGAGATACAGGGTTTCTTCGAAGCTGGGGAATTCCCACATGTTCTCAATAATACTCTTCGGGCAATGATCCCATAGAAAAAAAATTCGGATAAGCTAGTTGGCTTTTGCCCTATCAACCTATGCAAGATTGTGTAGAAAACCCCTATCTAATGTCTTGGCAAACAAATTAAAGAGGGTTTTGAAAGAAGTTATAGTTATAAGCAAAGTTTCTTTGTGTCAGGAAGGTTTATCACATATAATGTGTTGTTAGTGGCTTTCGAATGTTTTCATACTATAAAAACAGGAAAATAGGGATGAAAAGCAACAAGGCCTAAGATGAACATTGTCAAAGCCTAAGTTCGAGTCCAATATCCCCCTATCTATTCCTACCAGTAGCATAAGGCCTCTCGGCAATCACATCAAAAGCAGAAAGAGAAGGCCACAATGATGTATAAAAGTCAGAATAAATGCTCAACCAATATCCCATTTGCTATTCGCAGATGATAACATCTTCTTCATTCGAGCAACACAAGCAATTAGCATGAAGTTAAAGGAACTCTTATCTATCTATGAAGAGGAGACTTGCCAGAAGGTAAACTTGTTGAAATCTGAACTATCATTTCGCCAAATTTGAATAAGAACGAAAGGAGAGAGTTGGCACAAATTAAGGGAATGGAAAAAGTAGACTACCATGCTAAATATCGAGGGTTGCCGGTAGGGAGGGGAAAGAAATAAGTTTTCACAAACATTATTGACAGGGTTAGAAACAAAGTGAAGCTATGGAAGAGTCGACTTTTGTCTAGTGTTGTTAAGGAAATACTTATAAAATCAGTGGCACTAGCACAAACAACTTATGCCACATCTATATTCAAGATACCCACAAGGGTCGAGGAAGAAATACAATAAATCCTCGCTACTTTTGGTGTGGGACCGAAATAGGAGGAAAGGAGAACCCCGTGGCGTAGTTGGAAAGATCTGTGTCATCGAAATCAGGAGGGTGGTATGGATTTTCCAGACTTGGAAGTAGGGGTGAGCGGTGGGTGGTTTTATGCGTATTTGGGTGGATTTGGAACCACCCACTACGTGGTGGGTGAAGGAGAAAATGGCCCACATCCACCGAAGCATTACATGTGGGTGGGTTGGGTGATTGCGGATGATGGGTGGTTGAGTGAATTCGGTGGATTTACAACATATATTCCTAATGACATAATTTCAATAGTTTTAAACTTAAAATGAATGAAATTTTCAAACTAAATAACGCTTAATCCATATACCAGTTGAATAATTTGTACTACAATATTGGTATTGGTAATTCTCCATAAATTAAAAAATATTCAACTCATAAATATGATCTAAAGGTTTCTCTCTCTACGAAGTGGACCGAGATTTACGCTCACTGCGTGCCCGCAGATACCAGTGTCGGGAATCCTGTGGCGCTGGGGAAGACCTTTCCCCTTGGGAGTAAAAATGGACCATATGTGGGTGTCATCCTTCTTCTTCACTTTTCCAATTTGGCCTCTGAAGGCGGCAATCTACCAATTCCCTTTTTTCCCAAACCCTAACTGCCCTTCCTTCATGGCGGTTGTTCGATTTTCTAATGATGACATTGACGTCGGCGCTCAGCGGGAGGAACTTATGCTAATTGGCCGAGTTTGTGGTCCATCTCCTGCTCCATACTCTTTGAAGGCTGCTATGGGACGGTTATGGCGGTGTTCTGGAGAGTTCTCGATCCTGCCTCTTGCATTCGGCTTGTTCCAATTCATCTTCTCCACCAGCGACGATGCTTCTCGTGTCCGGAAAGGGTCTCTGTGGATTCAACCCAAATATTTGCTTCATCTTGTTCCATGGGCAGCGCCATCCCAGGCGGTTGAAGATTCTCTCCGTCGTGTTCCTCTATTTGTTAAATTTTGGGGGATTCCATATGAATTCTGTACCGAGCGTCTTGGTTCACTAATGGGAGCATCGTTGGGTCCTTCTGATCCTGCAACCATTCACCAATCAGAGACTACGAGTGCCATCTTCTTACAAGCGTGGGTGGTCCTCGATCTTACCTTGTCGTTACCAGATGCAGCCCCCGTTGCCCATGAAGAGTCTGGAAAAGTCTCTTTCAATGCAGTGGTGCGGTTTTTTTGTCTACCACAGTACTGCTTTCTCTGTGGAAGACCGACCTTCTCCAACATCCAGCCCGGTACGGTAAGTTTCTAGTTAGCAGAGACAAGGGTCCACGAGTTAGTGAACTCAGCCTTGCCAAGCGTAGGAAGTGCTTCTCTTGGCGTCGGAATCTGAAACTAGACTCTTCTTCTACTGCCATTGGTTTTGGGGGCTCCTCGTCTGCTCAGTCGGGAGCCTTGGTGGTTGGTTCGTGTATGCAGCGACGCACTTGTGTGTACTGAGGGTGAGTTGCAGAATCCAGATTGTCAGGTCGCAGATGGGGAGGTGCACATCATTGAGGAACCAACCCCAAAGCGTTGTCGAATGGTCACTAATGAGAAGCCTACGGCTTCTGCTGAGCATGACAGGGTGGAGGAAACCAGCCCCGACTTGTCCCAGCCAGATAAATGAGCTTCTTGGCTTGGAACTGTAGAGGGAAGGGCTCACTTCTGACAGTTCCTTCTCTTCACGAAGTCATACGGCGACATCTTCCTTTCCTCCTCCTTCTGAGTGAAACTAAGAAAGCTGATGATTTTGTTGAAGCTCAAGCCCATAGCTTAGGTTATGCTGAAGTTCGTGTGTTTAATGGTTTCTCAAGAGGTAGTGGCCTTGCTTGGCTTGGACTAATTTAATTTTATGTTCTGTGTTGGCTTCTTCGCCTGCGTATTTGTTTATTAGTGTGCAATGTGCATCACACTCTATTAGGTTCTTTTATCATAGGGCTAATACCACTGGGAAACCCGAACTATTAACTTTGTGTCATTTGTGTCCTAAAGTATTCGATATGACATTTGTGTCCTAAACTATTTTTCCGTTAGAGTTGACTAGCATTGACCGTTAGTTTTTAATAGAAAGTCTAGTCAGCGTTGATGTGGCATTTAAGTGGAATTTATAATTATTTTCCAAG